TTTTTTTTTTTTTTTTTTTGGTTTTTTTCCGTGTCCGGAAACGGATCGCAACCCTCAGTGTCGCCCACCCACTGCACCGGGACCGGCAACGGGACCGCAACCCTCGGTGTTGCTCCCGCGCGCCTCGCTCAGCCAGTGAGCGGCCGGTCTGTATGCGGGATCCGAACCCTCGGGCGGGAGCGCCGCCGCGCTTCCCAAGCGGCGCACTATCCAGTGCGCCACCGGGCCGGCCCTCTCCATGAACTTTTTGAAGTACCCTCATTTTAAAAAAAATTTTTAAAATTTCACCCTTATATTCTTATAGATATTATTTTTCTCCTTTAGACACATAACCACCTTTTAAGATTATTTGCACTCCTTCCAAGAGAAGCTAGATTTGATAGCAATTTTGTTTAGCATTTTTCAGAAGTTAAAGTGATTTTTAAATCTAACAGGAAAAAACGCTTTTAATTTTTTTGGAATAATTAATTTGCCTAAGGTCTGTTTTTTTATTGTCAACTTCTAAGTAGCTCTTTTTGTGTCATTTCTTAATTTGGAAAACCAGGTACAAATGACCTCTCCAAGCAGCACTGGCAGTCCCATGTTTAGATTTTCATCTCCAATTGTAAAATCTACTGAGGCAGATGTACTACCTCCATCATCTGTAAGTAGCAAGCAAGGAGTATTTCATGTTTATTGGTTACAAAACCATGCTATATTTTTATCAAACCTAAGATGCTGTTAGTGCTAAAAAACATTATTACTTTCTTCCAGCTTAAAAAAATATATGCAATGTACAGGAAACTTAAATGAGCAATTGTATATTCTTCACTACATGTATATGTGTACATATATGCATATAATTTTCTCCTGTCCTATTTAAAAGCTAAAATGCAGACATCTTGATTCCCTTAATACTTTTCCCCAAGAAAAAGAACATTCCTTTGCATCCACACAATACAGTTAAGATGCCCCAAGAAATTTAATATGATGCAATAATATTAATAGTCCAGATTCAGATTTCCCTGTTATCCCCAGACTGTCCTTTAATTGCTATTTTATTTCTGTTGGTTCTAGATCTAATTAGACTAGGACCTGATCAATTGAATCATATTGCATTTAGTTGACATGTCTCTTGAATCACCTTTAAGCTAGAAAAGTTCTGGGCTATTTTTATGTCCTACAGTATGTATTTGTTTCTTCATGATTAAGAAATAAACATTTTGGGTAAGAATAATACATAATTTTAATGTTCAGGTTGCCCCAGATTTGCTGTAGCCAACCTTTTTTTTCTATCACAACTAGATATTACAGATCAAGTGTAATTTTCCTGCTGCATGCCTGAAAAGCATCAGTTGTCTCAAAAGCCTAAAAATTAGAAAATGACATTCAGAACCAAGAACTGAGCATTAGGAACACACCATTATTTTATTTACTGTTTTGAAAGGAAGAAAATGCCTAAGAAATTAAAATGCTGTCTGTTAAACTATGACATGCCATTTGATATAAGAATCCCAATTTTAGAAATCGTAAAATATGAAAAACTATGTATGATAGAATAGGTGAAATTCAGTTTATCTTTGACTTGGAATAAGAAGAATACCTTTTCTTCTTTACAGATTGGATTTACATTTAGTGTGCCTGTTGCAAAAACAGCAGAACTTTCTGGCTCTGGCAGTACTTTAGAACCAATGATAAGTAGTACAGGTAAGTAAAAATTCCTGACAGATTTTTACAGTTGCATACATTAGATTAGTATTTCAAATTCTTTCACTTTTGGTAGTTCTTATAAATGCCTTCACTTGAATGAAATTAGCTCTGACAAGCAAGCAGGAACTATTATCAACCTTTTGACAATGCTTTTTATTAATTATCTTCAGTGATACACTTACCTCCCCAAGTATTAATGTTAAGGTTTGGTTTTGAGAGGTATAATCACAGTAGCAAATTTATTGCTGTCATGTTTAGTCAAAATAAGGTGAGAAGTTTGTTATAAATGAAGTCTCATAAGAAATTTGAGGGTTGTCTACATTATAATTGTAGCAGGTCTCATTTCTGGGTTTATTGTTCAATTCACAAGCATTTGTATTTGTAATGGTTATGCTGCCCTATGCAGATAGTGATGTATAATTTCTCAACTGAAGAAACCAGCATCATTGAGGGAAAGAAATGAGTAATAAGTTAATTAAAACATAGGATTTTTGTCATGGTAGTGATGGATTTTTTTTTAAGTGTTTGGGAAATGCAGAAACATCTGGTCTGAGAATTTTAAGCAACGGCATTTTACCCAAGAAATAAACACCAAGTGCAAGGACACAAGAACAAGAAAAAAAAGCATGGCATACTTTGAGAATTGCAAATAATTTGTCATGAGGTTAGAGACGTAGCTTTAAATCCTATAAATTGTTGAATGGCATGCTAAAGAATTGGATTTTATTCTGAATGTAGTAGTGAAACATCGAGTGATTTTATATGGGAGTGAGATGTGTGTGGGTTGTAGTGACAGCGGTTATGTTGAGTGAGGGTATGGGTGAGAATGGGGTGTTTAGGCAGAGACGTCAGTTGGAGACTGTTGCCTTATTCAGATCCAGAAGTGTTTCTTCAAGTATCTACTGAGTTTTGCAACTTTAAAAACTAGATCCTCCCTTGAGATAGGTTTCAAAAAAGAGAGAGAGCCAAGACGTGGAAGATAGAGAGGTCTTTGGCTTTGAATGATCTAGAAGGTAAGAGCATAGATTATTGGAAGTGGCCCAAAATAAGAATTTGACTGGTTAAGTTTGCAGTCCCATTTTTTATTGGATAAAACAACCCTGTGTCATAGAAAATAGCAAATAATATCAGGTGTACTTCTTACCACAAAAAATTTTTTTCTTTAATGTCACTACGGATTCAAGAGGAACAGACCTCTCCAAATGACCAATTTCATGACTTGTTATAAAGAGAGGCCTTAAAATCCTTCTTAGTTTTTACTAATGATAGCTGGCTGAGTAACATTTTGTTACAACAGCTTTATATTTCATTACATCTTGAGAAATTACTCAGATTTTTAAGGAGTTGATTATGAGTGGCATATGTAGAGTTATGTTAAAGTTCTCACTTTGACACCTCTGGTTCTCACTCCTCTCACTTAAAAAAACTGAAAATGTGGAAGTCATGATTAATTACTTTGTGACAGGAGCTAGTATTCCCATTATCTCCCCTTTTCATCTTTTTTAGAGCACTTTAGGAAATGATAAAAATTTACATTAAATTAAAGCAATTCAATTTTGATTATAAAGGAAGATAGATTGTGATAAACTGGTTAAAGCATATGTTTTGTTTGTTTTGACACAGTATGATGGATTTTTTATTTTTTAATTTTTGGGGGGCACATTTTTGTTATTGAAATGAGATTGGAATGATATAACAATTTAAAAGGGGACAATTCAGTGGCATTTATTAGTTACGGTGTTGTGCAACCATCACTTTTATCTAGTTCCAAAACATTTCTATCACCCCCAAAAGGAAATCTTCTATCCACAAAGCAGTTGTTTCCCATTTCACCTTTCCCATCAGCTACTGGCAACCACCACCAATTTTAGTTCTGTTTCTATGGATTGACTTATTCTGGATATTTCATATAAATGAGATCATGCAATGTGACTTTTTTCAGCTGGGTTCTTTAAATTAGCATAATGGTTTTAGGGGTCATCCACTTTGTAGTATGTATCAGTATTTCATCCTTTTAATGGCTGAATAATATTTCACTGTATGGATATACGACAATTCATTTGTTCATCCATAGATGGATATTTGGGCATTTTTCGTCTTTTGGCTATTGTGAGTAGTACTGCCGTGACCATGTGTGTACACGTATTTCTTGAGTACTGGTTTCATGCTTTAGGATATATACCTAGGAATGGAATTGGTGAGTCAAATAGTAGTTCTGTGTTTGACTCTGAAGAATTACCAAACTGTTTCCACAGTGGTTGGACCATTTCACATTCCCTCCAGCAGTGTACAGGGGATCCAGTTTCTCTACATCCTCACCAACAATTATTATTTTCTGTTTTTTGATTATAGCCATTCCTGGGGGATGTAAAGCAATACTTTTTTGTAGTTTTGATATGCATTTCCCTAGTGCAAATGATGTTGAGCGTTTTTTCATGTACTTCCTGTCCATTTGTATATCTTCTTGAGAGAAATGTCTATTTAAGTCCTTTGCCGATTAAATTGGTTTGTCTTTTTGTTACTGAGTTATAAGAATTCTTTATAGTCTGGATAATAGACCCTTATCAGATATATGATTTGTAAATTTTTTCTCCTATTCTGTAGGTTACCTTTTCTTTTTCTTGTTCATGTCTTTAGATTCACAAAGGTTTTCTGATGAAGTATAATTTTTTCTTTTGTTGCTTGTGCTTTTGGTGTCATATCTAAGAATACATTGCCAACTTCATGATCATGAAACTATATCCCTTAGGTTTTATGGTTTTAGTTCCTTAGATAATTTATCCATTTTTAATTGATTTTTGTTTATGGTGTGAGGTAGGGGTAGATAGGTTTATTGCAACTACTGTTTTTTAAATTGGCAAGCACTTAAAAACAAAAACCTGATTATAAGTATATTTAATTATGGAAAATTTTAAACATTTTCACAAGTAGAATAGTAGACTGAATCCCCATGTACCCTTTACCCAGCTTCAACATTTTCCATTTTATAACCAATCTTATTTCTTCATCCCCTCCCTCTTCTCCCTCTCACACACAGAAACACATCAGGTAATTTTGAAACAATCTCTGATATATTTCATCTATAAACAGAAACCTCTCTCTTTAAAAATATAATCATAAAATTATTATCACACTCAAAATATAGATCTCTTATTTTAAATATATAGATATGTTTATTTTAGAAAGTATGAATAGTAAAAGCAATAAATAAAAATCACTCATTTTATCACCAACAGCCACCATTAATCTCTAGATGTAAACACTCTAAACCTTTTGGACTTTCTACCCTACTTTTACCTATAAATATGCTTTTAAGAATAATTTTTGTGGCTGCATAGCATTCTGTTTTGTCACTTCTATAATTTATTGAGCGTTTTATCATTAGGTCTTAAATATTATAACTGAAGGATATTTTCAATCACGGTATGAATTTCTAGAAATGAAACAACTGGCTCAGCTGAAAATTACTTTTAAGGTTTTTTAAAATTTGTATTGTCAATTGCTGTATAACCAAATATGTATTTCATGAAATGGATGAATTTGCCCCAGTTGCCATATTCTCTCCAGTGTTTCAGTTTCATTTTCTTGATTATCAGGGAATGCATTGGATAACAGTTATCGTTTACATTATTATTTTTTTTTTCCATATATGGCTTTAATTATGTTGAGATACTTTCCATGTATACCTAACTTGTAGAGGGTTTTGTCATGAATGAATGTTGAATTTTATCAAATGCTTTTTCAGCATCTATAGAAACCCTGTACTTTGTCATTCATTTATTGTCTTTGAATTACACTGACTTTTTTCATGAAATTTTAGAAATTGATCCAAAAGAGTTGGCTTTGAAAGATTTTTTTTTTTGGTGTATCACATTTATTTTTTTTAGTGCATTTAATTCAAGAATTCAATGCTTTTTCTTGGCATAATGTCTTTTTTAAAAAATTACAGCTCAAGATACCACTGCAGTGAACAGTATAAGCTTTAGAAAGAAGCTAGATGAAGATTTTGAAGCCCCTTTCAGACCTGCAAATGTTCTGAAAGAAGGAAGTGTTCTAGATGTTCTTAAACAACCTGGTAAGATATTGCCCTTGAGATGGTCAAAATTCTTAATTACAAACATAATCTCATTTTAATGTCTTTTGTGTTATAGTTTAGGCTTTTAAAAAATTATGACTAGTTTGGTAGGAGACTGACTTTTGATTGTAGATGTAGATGTAGTCAGATTGTAATTCTTTTTTGGGAAATGTCTGAAAAACCTTACTCATTTCTTTGAAATTCAGGGACTCTATCTATACTAAATCTAGTTTGGTAGGAGACTGACTTTTGATTGTAGATGTAGATGTAGTCAGATTGTAATTCTTTTGTGGGAAATGTCTGAAAAACCTTACTCATTTCTTTGAAATTCAGGGACTCTATCTATACTAAAATGAAATTTCCAAGAGCAAGTACAGAAGGAGAATAGGAACTGCCTGTTAATAGAGATAGGCCAATATGGAATGAGATTAAATAAACACGGTGAATTATATACCTAGACATGTCTGCTCCCAGAACATTGAACTGCCTTCTCAAATTATTTCCCAGTTTGTTAAACTGTATATAGAACAAAACCAAGTGGAAAGCACATTGGTTTTTGTTATTGTTGTTTTTTGTTTTTTTGAAATCAAAGAGGATGGTCATAATTTCAATTGTGATATGTAGTATAGGAATGTGAAATTGTTCATAAAATAATCTAATAGCTCAGAGAGAATTTAGGTTTACCTAGATGAATTCATTTATAATGGGATAGGTTTTTAAAAATAAGGTTGGCTTCTATGACGGGATTTAGAAGGAGTAGGTTTTTTGGTCCAGCTCTTGCATTTTATCAATGAGTATACCACCTACAGAATTCTAGTAATTTAGACAGTTTTATATAGTTACGGCAGAACTCCAGAATGCCTGTACTAGAATTAACCAGCTAGTAGGCAAGCGTCAAATGAGTATAGTTTATTTTATATATCTAGAGTTGTACTTTGCATTCATAATGCCAGTCTCTCCCCACCTCCTTTTAACTTTAAAATAGGAAAAATTGACAAAATTTATATGAGCAAAATTAGGAAAATCTGAAAAAGTGGAAGGAAAATATGTGTAATGCCTTGAAATTGTTACTGTTAAAATTTTGTCAACTTTAGTGGTTCAGATTAACAGAACAGTGCATTGTTGACCACCGGGAGTAGTTGAAGTATGTGGGATCGTTTCTGCCCTTCTGCTAAAAATAGCTCTAGGCTGGATTATTTCTTGATATCTCTAGAAAACCCACAACCTTCTGTATCTTCCTCCCTTCTAATTTTCTTTTCCTTTGGTGCTAAACACTGGAGAAACAGATCACTGGTGTTGGTGTGTATAAAATAAAAGTTAATTGTTCCAAAGTAAAGGATTAAAAGGTCATTCCCATGAATAAAGTGTAGTTTGAGTGAATCAATTCAATGACAGCAGTTTTGATATCACAAAAATGACTCCTCTCTTCCCCATTCAGTGATTCTGTGTGAATAGCTTGTTTAAATCTACCTTCATATTTTACAAAAAAGGTATATTTACAATGTGAAAGGCTCTCAGATTATATTGGAAAAACATTTGAAGTAATTTTGTATGGCAGCTTTATGTGAAATGTATTTGAGTAGAGTTAGTATGAGCTCTTGCTCCATGAGGACAGACTGGGTCTTAATCTTTTTTTCTTTTCTTTTTCTTTTTTTTGGTGGCTGGCTGGTACTTAGATCCAAACCCTTGACTTTGGTATTATAACACTGTGCTCTAACCAACTGACCTAACTGGCTAGCTCCTGGATCTTAATCATTTTTATATTTCTAAGCCTTATCGGAAGGGTTTGGTACATCTTTGGGATTTGTCGTCATATTTGTCATTGAGCCATTACCATTTTAAAGTTTGTATGTGTTCAGTATAATTAAAAATAATTCTTACCACCCTGTTGTACTTTGGAGGGACATCTGTCAAATAATTATACTGATTCAGCTCAGCTGGTTTTATTGAGGATAGAGGATACCACAACAGTGGATTATGACTGGACAAAATTTAAAGATTATAAATATTGAAGTCATTTGACATAGCCAAGGGAACACCTGAAAAAAGAGACAGATGAGGGAAGAAGGCTATGAGTATACTGTAGTTCAGTGTTCCAGGAAGGCTGAATATAGCAAAATGTAGGTGACAATAATATGTATCAGTAAATTAGTGCAAATGGAAGCATCAAAGTAGAAATTCCTAGAGGGAGAAGGTGATATACTGTAAACAAAACATCTTCTGTAGAATTTTAACTAGGCATGTCTCTTATTAATTATGTGATTAATAAATGTGATTGCTTAGGTGAGGAACAACTCTTAAGTAGGCTATCTTGCATGTAGTAACCCTGTAATAAGGCAAGCATATTTTCTTTCAGTAATAATATTCCAGTTAGTGTTTTGATTAGAAAGATTTTGTAACTTTTTTTTCTTTTTTGGCACTCTCCTCTTCTCCACAGGTTTCACATCACCAAAGGTAGATTCTTTTGCTGCTCAGCCAACCACGACAAGCCCAGTAGTTTATACAAGACCAGCAATAAGTAGCTTTTCTTCTAGTGGAATTGGGTTTGGGGAAAGTTTAAAATCTGGATCATCGTGGCAGTGTGATACATGTCTACTCCAGAACAAAGTTACAGACAGCAAGTGCATAGCCTGTCAAGCAGCAAAATTGCCACCAAGTGATACTGCTAAACAGACTGGAATTGGGACACCAAGTAAAAATGGAAAAGCAACTCTTTCTGCATCAGGGACAGGCTTTGAAGACAAATTTAAACCAGCAATAGGAACTTGGGATTGTGATACTTGTTTAGTGCAAAATAAACCTGAAGTGATAAAATGTGTAGCCTGTGAAACACCGAAACCTGGAACTGGTGTGAAGCGAGCCCTTACATTGACAGTTGTTTCAGAAAGTGCTGTGACTATGACTGCTTCATCTTCCAGCTGCACTGTGACCACTGGTACCTTAGGATTTGGAGATAAATTCAAAAATCCTGTTGGATCTTGGGAATGCCCAGTATGCTGTGTTTCTAATAATGCAGAAGACAATAAATGCGTGTCCTGTACGTCTGAGAAACTAGGTATGTTTATGGGTGTATAGGATAATTTTGCTCATCACTTTAATAGAATATTTTTTTTTATTCTCGGTAAAACAGCTAAGAACAACCCCAGTATTTTAAATGTTTCAAGATGAGCATTTCTTCATGCATCTTCTTTTTTGGGGGGTGGGGGCAGCTTCACTTTAATAGAATATTTTTTTTTATTCTCGGTAAAACAGCTAAGAACAACCCCAGTGTTTTAAATGTTTCAAGATGAGCATTTCTTCATGCATCTTCTTTTTTGGGGGGTGGGGGCAGCTGGCTAACATCCTCATACATGTTAATTTTTCTAAACTATCATGAGGTTAAAATGATTTGCTTGGTGCTAGATCTTCATGTTTGCTTAGGATAGGTTGTATGTTACCTAGTCCAATATACTGATCTCTTTCTATGCAGCTTTATCAGAAACGTCTTACTCTTTATGATCATTTTCAAAGTTGACTAATGTAGATGCTGAAAGATTTAGAATGGAGCAATGTTTCTCAAGCCTTTATAGAGAATAAAATATTACTTTGTCTCTTTTTCTCTAAGTAGAAGTGAGGATAGCTAGTGGTCATTTACAGGTAAGGTTTCTTTAAGGGGTAGACAATAGTGCTTTATGAAAAGGTTGTAGCTGAATATTAATAATAGTACCTGTACCCATATGCTATCTGCCAGAGATGTTGCAATGATAGTAAATTACCAAGTCATACATGAAAAAGTGGAGTTAAGTTTGAGTTTTTCCTGTTTCTCTGTTCAAAGTTGGAAGAATTATTTAAGATTCACATCAGTCTTTAATCATGAAGTGACTCTTTGCCAGTTTTGTAATATTATTAAATAATTATATGGTACAAATATTTGGTAACATGGATACTGGGTAAAACATATGAATACCCTGGGAATTATACTTCCTATTTTTATTGCATTATTCATGGATGTGTAGTTTTGTGTCTGTAATGTAAAGCTCTGAGTTATTAGCTTAGAGCCCTTGCCTGAACACTTAAGCAGTATTTTTAATTCCTACTGGACATCTCACAAGAATAAGATTTCAGAATTTTTATTCCAAAATATCTTTCTCTTTCTATGTGGCATCCCTTCTCATCTAAAAAATGAAAGCCCTTGATGCATTCAGAAAACCAAAATTAATTCTGAATAGATGGGACAGTAATAAAACTTTGAGCCAAGAAGTAAGTTGTTACTCATGAACAATTAGGAATAAGAAAGTTCGTATGTGTATTAAAGAACTTGGGCTTTATTCTGTCAATGATGAAACATCATTTTCAGAGGAGTGATATGGTCAGATTTATCTTTTTGATAAGTCACTCTGGTGGCTTTGTGTGTGTGTGTGTGTGTGACTGGCTGGTATAGGGATCCGTACCAGACCGGGACCGGCAACGGGATCGCAACCCTCAGTGTCGCGCCCGGACCGGACCGGGACCGGCAACGGGATCGCAACCTCCGTGTTGCTCCCACACCT